ACACATCATCATCACTCGCACTCTCTCACACGCTCACGAACATCATCGTCATCATCGGTATCGGCATCATCCTCATTCAAACATCATCATCGCCACCACCACCCACAATCAATCATCATCCTCTTCACCACTCATCTTCACCACCACTCATCATCCTCATCCTCATCATCGTTGAGTAAAGTGTGAGGAAGTCTCAGGCGGGAGCCCCCTCCCTATGGGGCCCGCAGATCATGTTGGTAATCCGAGCGGGTCATCGGAACCCTGTAACTGTCGTCACTTTTGGGCTCCCCAGGCCTGAAAATGGAGGAAGTCTCAGGCGGGAGCCTCGTCTGTGAGTGAATTGGGAGGAAGTCTCAGGCGGGAGCTCCCTCCCTATGGGGCCCGCAGATTATGTTGGTAATCCGAGCGGGTCATCGGAACCCTGTAACTGTCGTCACTTTTGGGCTCCTCAAGCCTGAATATGGAGGAAGTCTCAGGCGGGAGCCTCGTCTGTGAGTGAATTCTGAGGAAGGCTCAAGCGGGAGCCCCCTCCCTATGGGGCCCGCAGATCATGTTGGTAATCCGAGCGGGTCATCGGAACCCTGTAACTGTCGTCACTTTTGGGCTCGTCAAGCCTGAATTTGGAGGAAGTCTCTGGCGGGAGCCTCGTCTTTGAGTGAATTGTGAAGAAGTCTCAGGCGGGAGCCCCCTCCCTATGGGGCCCGCAGATCATGTTGGTAATCCGAGCGGGTCATCGGAACCCTGTAACTGTCGTCACTTTTGGGCTCCTCAAGCCTGAATATGGAGGAAGTCTCAGGCGGGAGCCTCGTCTGTGAGTGAACTGCGAGGAAGTCTCAGGCGGGAGCCCCCTCCCTATGGGGCCCGCAGATCATGTTGGTAATCCGAGCGGGTCATCGGAACCCTGTAACTGTCGTCACTTTTGGGCTCGTCAAGCCTGAATTTGGAGGAAGTCTCTGGCGGGAGCCTCGTCTTTGAGTGAATTGTGAAGAAGTCTCAGGCGGGAGCCCCCTCCCTATGGGGCCCGCAGATCATGTTGGTAATCCGAGCGGGTCATCGGAACCCTGTAACTGTCGTCACTTTTGGGCTCCTCAAGCCTGAATATGGAGGAAGTCTCAGGCGGGAGCCTCGTCTGTGAGTGAACTGCGAGGAAGTCTCAGGCGGGAGCCCCCTCCCTATGGGGCCCGCAGATCATGTTGGTAATCCGAGCAGGTCATCCAAAACCTGTAACTGTCGTCAATGTTGGGTTCTCGCGCTGCCAGAACGCAGTTCCCAGGCCACACTTTGGATGCAACAAGGAAGTTTTTGGGCTCCTCAGGTCGCCGAGGTGCTGCGACAGGGCGCCGAAGGCGCCGACGACGACGGCCAGGCCGAGGCGCGGGCGCGGAGCTTGCTGATGTTCAGGCCCAGCGAAAGGGAGTTCACATGGCAGAGCTCGGGGGCGCACAGCGTGCGCCGCTCGGGGTTCACCCTGACGCACGCGTCCTACCTGACCTCCACGCTGTCGCAGGGCCAGACGCTGCGCAAGGGCGTCACCATCGACTGCGCGAGAGACGAGGACGCTGGCCGCACGGGCATGTCGGACGAGCAGTGGTGGCTGCACCTCTACGTCATGTTCTCCCGCGCCACGTGCATGCGGAACATGCTGATCCTGCGGCCGCCGCCGCGAGAGTTCCTGGAGTGCGGGCCGCCGGCGTCCCTGCGGAAGGCGCTCCTGGAGTTCGACAAGAGAACGGTTTTGTCCAGGGCGGAGGCGAAGCAGCTCGCGGCAGAGCTGGGCTTCGTGCTGCCTTCCGCCTGAGCGCGGCTGCGCCTCGCTCGAAGCCCGCGGGGTTGTCCCAACGGCTTGGTCTTGCGCGCCAACGGCTCGCGGGGTTGTCCCGACAGCCTGGCCCGCGGGGTTGTCCCAACGGCTGCGCGACGTGACCTGTAGAGAACGCGCCTGTGCTGGCCGTGGCGGCGACGGCGCCGAGGAACATCGACATGCGCGCTCATGCAACAGGAAGGGGAGGAGGTGGCGGGGCGCGGAACAAACAGGGGGGCGAGGATGGGGACAACGTAAGGAGTGGAAGGGGGGCCCGCGCCAAGGCGAGAGGAAATATACGCAGAAGAGACAGCCAGGACGCCTCACCAACCACGAGGACGACGGTGATGGCTTTTTCCAGATTCGCCCAGAGGATTCTTATGTGGGGTTCTTCCGTCGGAGTAATTAGTTTTCTTTTTTACCTGCGGCTTAACGGATCGACGACTCCCCGAAAGAACGGAGTCACCTCAGCATCCCACGAAGGACTGTACCAAAAAACACCGCACAGCGTAACACACCGCATTTCATCCATTCGAAATCGTATAAAAACAACGTGTACCACCGTATTGTCCCTACCTGCCCGATGGTTGTCCCGATGGTTGTCCTGGACCGATTGATCGATATGTATATATATATGTACACACATACACATAAATATGATATGTATATAGTGAGGTCGATGGATTGTGCGATCGATCGATCGTGATATCGATGGATAGGTCGGAGGTTGGAGGGTGATATAGAAGTTAAGCAGAGACCCCTAACCAGAAAATCGGTGTCGGTTTCGTTTTCGCGTGGCGCGTGCGTGCGCGGGCGACAGGAGTGAACCCGCCAGTAAACGGGTGAATCCGTGCCACCCCTTGGTTGGCCGGCTGTTGCCCAGGGGTGTCGGGGGTGTCCCGATGGTGTCCCGCTGCTAATGCGAAAAACAAAGTTGTGCTGTTCTTTCCGCCCGGTTGGCCGGCGGTGGTCCGGGGGTATCCCGATGGTGTCCCGATGGTGTCCCGATGGTGTCAGGATGGTGATCCGATGGTGATCCGATGGTTTCCCGATAGTTTGTTGATGGTGTCCCGATTGTGTTCCGATGGTGTTCCCATGGTGTCTTGATGGTGTCCCGATTGTGTTCCGATGGTGTCTCGATGGTATCCAAATAGTGTTTCGATTTTGTCCCGATGGTGTCTCGATACTTTCACGATGGTGCTCCGATGGTGTCCCGATGGTGTCCCGATGGTGTCCAGATTATGTCCCGATGGTGTCGCGATGGTGTTCCGATGTTGTCCCGATGTTGTCCCGATATTGTCCGAATTGTGTCCCGATGGTGTCCCCATGGTGTCCCAGTGGCGTCTCGATGGTGTCCGGAAAGTGTCCCAATTGTGGCCAGATAGTGTCCCGATGGCGTCTCCATGGTGTACCGATGGTGTTCCGATGCTGTCCCCATGGTGTCCTGATGATGTCCCGATGGTATCCAAATGGTGTTCCGATGGTGTCTCGATGGTGTTCCGATGGTGCGGTCATGTTGCCCCGATGGTGTCCCGATGGTGTCGCGATGGTGCCCCGATGATGTCCCGATGGTGTCCCGATGGGTTCCCGATTTTTTGTCCCGATGGTTCTCCCGTGAGATGGGTAGATTGAACGTGGGGTCGATGTGTAGTGAGACCGATCAATTCTGGGATCGATACATACACGACCACTCTTCGGGTGATAAGGTTTGGGGGTTGGGGGGGAAAGAACCAACTGCTGGCAAATGCGATGAATATGATGATGACGATGCTGGTGACGCGCCCTCGAGTCAGCGACGACGCGTGATGACGATGTCTTCCTGCGATGTAATGTCACTATCGTATCCGCTTTCGATCTTACTGAATCGGTCCCACGATCGACCTCACACGATCGATCACGCTTGATCGATCGCATTACAAATCTCATCATCTATCTCACCATCGATGTCACTATAGATCTCGTTTTCGATCTCACTATCGATCTCACTATCGATCTCACTGTCTTCCCCACCAGGGATCTCACAATCGATCTCACGATCGATCTCATAACCAACGTCACAATGAACCTCACTGTCGATCTCACTTTTGATCTCACTTTGTTTCCCCATTCTAGCGATCTCACCATCGGTCTATCGATCGACTTCATTATAATACCGACGGGACACCAACGTGACACTAAAGGACACCACGGCGGGTCACCTCAGGCCACCGCGCGCCCATTGGAGGCGGATGGGCGGTCCATTGCATCCGAATGGCCCTAGCGATGGCGGAGCCGTTCCTCTCGCGTGCCCACGCAGCTTCGCCTCGCCCGCACGCACGTCACGGACACGAATACGAAATCGAAACCGATTTCCCCATGGGGCGCTTTTCGTTCTTTTGCGACCTCATCCCCAAACCTTCGATATTGTCGATAGATAGTGGGATCGACTGGGAGATGGATGGTGGGACCGACTCATGGTAAGACGCTGATCGATTGATCGAGTTACGGATGGTGAGATCAATCGAGAGGTTGATTAACATACGTGGATAACGATCGTGATATAGTCGGTCGATGGTGCGACCAGTAGACCGATGATCGACAGTGAGACCGATATTGATCTCGATAAACAGAAAGTGAGTTCGATCGTAAGGTCGATAGTGTAGTGAGATAAGTCGTGAGACCAATCGTGAGATCGATCATCAGTTCGCGGGCGCATCACCAGCGTCGTCACCATCACACTCATCGCATATTGTCATTAGTTGGCCCGCCCCCCCACAACCTCCTTATCACCCGAAAGACGTTTAGGTATGGTGATGGTGATTACTAGTAGTTCGGCCTCCAGGGGCTCGTTTGGGGCCCTGGAATCTTGAATAACGGACATGGGGCGGACAAATACCCCCAGGGACGGGGTCATCCTTCTCGTCCTCCTCATCCTCCTAGACCGTCGCGGGGAGTGGTGAAATATTTCAAGCCTGCAAGAAGGGTACACATCTCCCCCCTACAGACCTTCGTCCCTCGCTTCCCGCCCCAGGCCAGCGTGGAGGCGAGGGCTCACACTACCGCATTTTCCGAGCCTCTCTGTTCCATGATCTCGGCATGTGCCGCATTAGACCCCGACGGAATTATGAGCGATAGTTTGAACAAACAGACGACCAGCATGACGAGTCGTGGAATAACCAAACGTACCCGCGCGAGGCAATGTCAGATCGCAAAACTTGAGACATGGAAGATCATGTTGATGTTGCGACCGCAAGGGCTTGAATGGAGTACATGTTTATATTGTCCTTGCCAAGAAGAGCAGGCATGTTATGGACACCAGAGTTCGCCGCGTCACGTTGTGACCAACGCAGAGATGGGCACAGCAATCAATGCTAGCATTGATGGCAAGATTTCTGACAGTCGCTTCAAATAGTCTCCCTTCGTAGAGGTGGCCGCATCACATGAATTTGTTGCCATCGGTGGCCTCATGACAAACTTGAAATACTGCATAATTAATGGTGTCTCCAATGGTAAGCCTAGCTTCAACATCTTCGTTATTTCGCGGGGCTGGTGGAATGCATGGCGGCTTGTGGCTTCAAGGTGGCTTGCCACAGCAGGGCCACTGAAGATGGAAAAGGACACTTAGCCGACACAGCTGGAGCAAGAACCTCACCAAGCGTTTACAATTGTTGGTAGGCTGAGTTTCCAAGCTCATTCGTAAATAGACCACCCGTTCGAGGAAGTGTTTCGCCCCTGGAGGGGGCGAGGGCACTCACTTCACAGCCAGAAATCCATGTTTCTTCTAACATGGTTTGGCGATCTGGTGGGGCCGGGAGTATTTATACACACGCAGATTTGCTCGAATGGAGGAGGTCTGCTTCGAGACGTAGTCGTTTTCTCAGCAGCGAAGCTCATGACATGGCATACGATGGTGCAAACGCGAAGAAGCCGCCCAGGAAACAAAAACTTTCATCGTCTGGTCCCCGTCCTTGCCCCTCCCTCTCCGTGGCTTGCGCCGCCCGCGCCCCCGTCTCTTCGTCTCTTTGCTCTGCTCTGCTCTGCTCTTCTCCCCCCTCGCCTGGCTCTAGTGTCCTCTTGTCTTGCTCCTCGCTTCAGCGTGCCTCGCCCCGCCTCAGTACAGCGGAGTTCTGGAGTTCTCCACCCCGAGGATACGAGGCTGGTTAACAGGAACTCTCTTACGTTGCCGTTACTTCTATGGGGGGGTGCGGTCGCAGGTGGGTTTTAGAGATCGCGAGCACCCAGCTCACACAGTGCGGTTTTGTTGCATCGGTCGATATTTCGACAGATTTTGCCTTGGGGAACGGGTTCGCGGCCAAGCGCGCCCCCAGCCAGCGCAGTTGTTGCGAATGTCTGCTCCTTGCACGGGGACCTCCTAACTGTAGCTCACGAAGGGACGCCCCAGGCAGGACTCGGGCAAGACGCCGAGACCAGGCATACATAACCATCCACAGGGGCCTAAAGCCTAGAGTGGTCAAGTACAGCTTGGATCAGGCCCCGAAGCGCCTCCTCCTCCTCCTCCTCCTCCTTCTCATCCTTCTCCTCCTCCTCCTCCTCCTCCTCCTCCTCCTCCGGTTTTACCTCCTCCTCCTCCTCCTCCTCCTCCTCCTCCTCCTCCGTCCTGGTCTCCCCTTCTCCCCCCCCGCTCATTCGCCTCTTGCTCTTCTGTCTCCTCCTCCTCTTCTTCCTCGTCTTCGTCCTCCTCCTCCTCCTCCTCCTCCGCATCTTCCTCTCCCACCCACCCCTGCATACTCCGTATACGTTTTGGCTCCAGTCCTGCCAGCAGCGGCCAGCGGCGATGGAGGAGCCGGCGGCCGCGGGCACGGAGGGCCCGGGCGGCGACGGGGAGCCGGCGGGGGAACCCGCAGAAGAAGCTTGCGCCAGCCCGAGCGAGGACGCGGCGCCTCTCCTGCCCGCGCCCGCGGCCACCGCGAAGGGCGCCGCCTCGCCCAGGCGTCCACCGAGTGCAGAGACCGAAGGCCCTGCACCGTCCGCTCCGGCGGGGGCCCACCCTCCGGAGCCGCCGGACGGTGAAGCGGCGGCCGCGCCGCCCGATCCGCCCGCCGAGCCCCCGCGGGAGGAGCAGGAGCTGGCGCGGCAGGATCTGGTGGCGCGCGCGGCACTGCTCGGGGAGCTCGGGGAGCGTAGCGCCACGCCGCCGCAGGAGCGAGAACGGGAAGATCTGATTGCCGAGGTCCACAACAATTGCTCGGACGCCGTGCTAGAGGCCGCGCTGGCTGCGCCGGAGCAGCCGCCGCGCCCAGTCAAGTGGACCGTCCCTGGCGCGCTCGCACTTCCGAGCCCAGCCAGCGTGAAGCACGCAGGACCTCCTGCGGCCCCCAGGTCGACGTCGACGGCCGCGATCGAGCAGCAGACCACCACGACGGCGGTGGTGCCAGCGCCGTCCGCGGCAGCCCCCTCGGGGCCCCCGCCGCCCCCGCCGCATGCCGTGGCGCCGTCGCCGGCCTCAGTGCCGGTGCCCGCGGCCCCGGCGCACGCGCCGGCCCCAGCGCTGGCCAGTGAGGGGGATGCTCACCAGACGCCCACGCTGCGCCAGCTCGCGAGGGCTCGGGCAGCCGCCACCACCGCGCAGCTCCAGGAGACTGTCCAGGAGTTCATGAAGGACCCCTTCGCAGAGATAAGGAGCTCCCCGTGGAACCTCGACTGGCCCTACTGCTCGGTGTGCCAGGTCTGGATGGACGCGGCGCACATCGCCAGCGCCAGGCACATTCGGCAGCTTGAGCAGCTCGGTCATCGGCAGCCTGACCAAGGTGCTGCGCCCTGCCCAGCCGAATCGCTGAGGCAGCAGCAGCAGCAGCAGCAGCAGCAGCAGCAGCAGCAGCAGCAGCATCAGTGCCCGACGCAGCTGCGGACAGATGCAGCCAGTGACCGAGGAGGCGGGCACAGAGACTGGAGTCCTGCCGCAGCCGCTACGCCCAGTATGGCGCTCCGTACGGCCCCTCCGAGGCCCACAAAGCAGCAAATTTACGGCTGGAACGCGCCGTGGGTAAATTTCGATTGGGATACCTTGGCGTGGCCGGACGACGTAAACCTGCAGCAGGGCTAGGCGGAGGCTGGGGCTGCGTCGCTGGCAGGCGTGTCCTGGCTGGCTGGTAGCTGAGCTGGCCGCGGGGGCCGCCGAGGCGCGCCCGTCGCGGCGAATGCCTCCGGGCGCGATGCACAAAGACCCATCGGAATGGGGCGTCGTGGAACAAAACGCTCCTGAGTTTGGTCGATCCTACCCCTTCCGTCTTAAGTGTAGAAGTTTCCTTTTCCGATCGCCCAGCCAACGATGGGCCAGATCCTGCAACTGAATTGGGCATCAAGGTCCCCTACAGTCAGTAGAATTCTGTTGCTCGTGAAATCTAGTATGCATGTGTATGTATCGGGATATCTCTGCGTCGAGCGAGGACGTTCTAGCAACCCCTGCCTAAAACAAGGGTTAGCCAGCATGATAGTTAAATGAAGCACGAGCGTTCTAGCAGCTCACGGCGAGCGCTCCAACACTGCACTGTGACCGAGCCCGAGCCTTTCAGCAGTTCGAGCATTGGTCGCAGTCGCCGCCGTGGTCGTCGCCGTCGCCGCCCTCGCCGTTGTTGCCGTCGCCTTCGACGGCGGCACTCGCTGTCGCCGCGGCCGCCGCCATCGCCACCGTCGCCATCGTCCGCTTGCGTATTCTCCGGCGCCCTCGTCGTCGCCGACGTCGCTGCCATCACCGTGGCCATCGTTGTCGATGCTGGTGTCGTCGCCATTCTCGCCGCGAAGGACTTCGCCGTCGCCAGCGCGGTGGTCTGGCCATTCGTTACCACCAGCAAGCAACCACTCCTCTGGCTGCACCCTGGTCGTCAGATAGAAGTGGGAAATGGATTCGCGCAGTGGGAAGGGATCGGTGGGAGGGGCAGGGTGTCAGATGTGGCTGGGGCGCGCAAATCTTTATGAGCACTGATTCCCTCTCTCCCTCCTCTCCCGCGTATGTTTTCCCACACGCACACGCGCACACAGGATCTTGAAAGCTGAGTTGCCAGATGCGGCGTTTGCGTCGGAACGCCTCCAGTCACCCCGACAAAGCGCCCCCGAGACGCCCGAAACGAAGAAGTCCTCATCGTCGTCGCCGTTGTCGTTGTCGTCGTCGTCGTCGTCGTCGTCGTCGTCGTCGTCGTCGTCGTCGTCGTCGTCGTCGACGTCTTTGTCGTCGTGCTGACGTCGTCGTCGACGCCGCCCCCCTCCGCTGGTGGCCCCATCCGAGCCCCCCATGCGAGCCGGCGGCCCTCTCCGCCGCGAGGCGCGGGAGCGCCTGGGCGCGGGCAGCCGCGGGAAGCTGGGCCGCCCGGGCGCGGGCAGGACCCGCGCTCGCGCTGGGCCGGCAGCGGCGGTGCGCCCCGCGACGACGAGGGCGAGACGACGACGACGACGAGGAGGAGGAGGAGGAGGGGGAGGAAACCGACCGGTAAGACGAGGTCGACCACGAGGCGAGGACGTGGACGAGGACGAGGACGAGGAGGCGGACGAGGAGGAGGAGGAGAAGGAGGAGGAGGACGACGACTATGAGCGCGAGGGCGAGGACGACGTCGAGGACGAGGACAATGGCGAGTGCGAGGATGAGGGCGAGGATGAGGCCAGGAAGACGGGAGGGCAGGTGAAAAAGGAGGGCGAGGAAGGTGGAGCCAGAGGGGGGAGTTATGCACGAGTAGGGAGGAGGCGGATAGTAGAAGAGGATCGGATTGGATAGGGTAAAAGTGATGAGGAGGGGGAGGAGGGCAGAGGTTCGGTTGGACTCGCACGCGAGGAGTTAGGGTTTCCAGGAAGTTTGCGCAATGTGTCTCAAAGGGAGGTCTGGGGGCAGGACCGGGACGATTCGGGGAAGGTGAAGGCGGGGGGGGGGGAGGGCGAGAGGCATGGGGGGAAGGGCGTCTAGGCCCTCGCTTCCCTTCCTTCCTCCTCCTTCTCCCCCTCTGCCCGGGGTCGGCGGCCCGAGTTTCGGCCAAGTTCGCTGGATATCGTCTCGGCAACTCGGCCTGGGTCAGGGACGTTTGTGCGCAGGTCCATGTTGCTTGAAGGGATGTACTTGGCTGCCTCGGTACGCCCGTTTTGAAACGCATCACGTACCGTGCTCGCAGCGCCCGTGTCAATACGTCGTGTGTTGGCTCAGCGTATTGGCACGTTTTCAGTCTACGTGTCGAGCTCCGTAGAAATACGCTATGTGTTACGTGTTGCGTATCGCGGCAGCTACGTTTCAGGGAGGCATCTTTCGAGTGAAAAAGGCCCCTCCTCCCCTGCGCAGCCTCGGCCGCGCACCTCTGGGGGCCGCCGTGGCGGCCGCCCCGGTTCCGGCCAGCACGGCTCGGCTGGCAGATCTCTCCCGAGCGCTGCAGGTCGGGCAGGCCCCCGCCCAAGGGGAGGGATCGAGGAATCGAGGATCGAGGATCGATGGAGGATCGAGGGATCGATCGAGAATCGAGAGATCAAGGAGGGGATCGATCGGGGAAACGAGAGACTCGAGTACGCCCGAACTCGAGTTTGCCGACGCCTTTTGACGAGAGCGTCCTGGATTTTGACGGTCCAGTTATCATGGGATGTCTGCAGCGGGAGCTCGCGTCAAATTTCAGATTGGGTCCCCTCATTTCCATGATGGCCCCGTCAGGCCTTACGTCTCCCCGAATCGAGGAGGAGATCGGGGAGAGCATCGAGTAGGGGCTCGTGACTCCCCAGGCCGCCCACGGCCACGCGCACGCCTTTGGCAGAGCCTGGCGGAGCGCAGACCGAGGGCCCCTCGTGCGACCCAGGGGGCCTCCCCAGCGTCTCGAAGGAGAACAAACGGCATACACAATCACAGAGACTTTCGGAGCTCCGCGCAGATCTCCTGAATCGGCGCCGGAGCCCCCGAGCGAGGCCTCCAGCGCCGCCCCTAGCGCGCTCCGCGCGCCAGAGAGGAGGGTTCAACGCAGATCCAGGAGATCCGCGCGGACGTCCAACAGCTTATGTTATTTGGCAAAGGGGGGGCAGTTTATGCTTTTGCATGTCATGCTTATGTTCATGCAATGTGTGCTTCTGGCTATCCAAATTGTGTCGCCTGAGGGGGGCCTGGGGAGGGCCTCGGGAGGCTCCGAGCAGTTCGCGAGATGCTTCAAGAGGGTTCCTGGATGGTCCTAGGTGGAGGGGACGGTGACTCCGAGACGCTCCCACTCTCCGGGTGGCTTGCTTAGGTTTCCTCGAAGTTTTTATTGGCCGCGACCCGCGACCGCTCTTACAAGCGTTGGGGGGTTCTTTGGAGAAGCGTTGTGGAGGCCCCGAGGGACTCATCAAGGCCACCAGACAGCCTCACATATGCCCCTCTTGTCTTCTGTGTTTCATTGGTCGATACTGCTCGCGAGGGCTTCTGTGCGCGAGCCACTCACCTATGCCGATCTACGCACACGTGAGGTTTTGGACTGCCTCTGACTTTGCCTTGTTTCTTATCCTCTTCCTCTTTCTTTCCCCTGTCTCTTCGTACTCGCTCCCTGTTCGAACGGGGTCCAGGTTTCGAGTGCTAGGACTGGCATCTTTAATGTGGGGCGCAGCGCTGTTGGCCCAGCATCTCGCACGCTGTTTGCGCTCCATCCTCCGCCTATAATTACGCCGCGCCGCCCGCCGCGCCGCCGGCCTATTCACGAGTGCAGGCGCCCTGCTTTGCTCATGAGCGCGGGGAGGTGGACTGAGCAGCAGAATGGAAAAACAAGATACCCCACGTGACCCCCAAGATGGCAGCTGCACATCCCAAGACGGCCCCAAGATGGCTCCGAGAGGGCCGCGTGTTCTCCCCGAGTGCCACCAAGAAGGTCCGAATGAGGCCCCCGTAGCAATTTTGCTGAAGTTTTGCTGCGATCAGTGCTCGCTGTGGATTTGCGACCTGCCACCGTGGGCCCGCAGCGATGCCGCTCACCGTGGAGCTCCTTAAGGCGATGGATGACAAGACGTCTGGCGGTGTGATCGAGCTCCTGAAGGGCGACCCGGTCTTCACTGAACTTGCCAAGAAGGAGCTCGACGACATCATAGCCCGCGACGACGAGGACGCCGCGAAGCTGGCGGCGGGCGTGCAGCAGGCAATAGAGAAGGGCGTGCTGCCCAAAGACAAGGAGCCCCCCACGTACGTGAACGTGGACGTGCTCGGCAAGACCGCAGACCAGGTGGCCGACGAGATCTTGGCGAAGCTCCCCAAGGAGGGTGGCTGCGTCATGATTCTAGTCGGCCTGAGCGGCACCGGAAAGGGCACTACGGTGGACAAGATCAAAGCGAAAGTTTCGAACGCGTCCACGTGGTCCAATGGAAATTGTTTCCGCGCGCTCACGCTTCTTGCGGCGACGTACTGCGAACAGCAGGGCAAGGAGTTTGATCCAGCCGTCCTCACGCCAGAGAACCTGGCCTCTTGGTCCGCCATGCTCGAATTCGACAAGTTTGATGGCAAGTTCGACATCCGCATCAATGGCCTCGGCATAGACCAGAAGGTCTCGGACATAGCGAACACCCTGCTGAAGGAGCCCAAGGTTGGCAAGAACATACCAACCGTGGCGAAGGAGACGCAGGGCGAGGTGGTGAAGTTCGCCGGCGACGCCTGCAAGAAGATGGGTGACGACGGCACAGTCGTGCTGGTGGAGGGCCGGGAGCAGACGTTGAACTTCATCGAGTCCCCCTACCGGTTTGAGGGAACACAAGGGGGTACCGATACCGCTACTACCTGGACCTCTCCTTGGTTCCGGCCAGAATTCCGAGGATCATCCAGCCGTGGCAATGAGGCAAGGGTAGCGGTATCGTGGTTCTTGGGCGGGGCCACGACCAGGATAAATCGTTCCAGAGTGTTTTTGGAACGCTCTCAGTGCGTCCAAGAGCGACCGACACATCGAGAGCTGCCAGATCTCAGAGATCCCTAACTCCGGATCCGCCCTGACTACTTTGGGCGATTTCGTGTGTAGGACGGGAATGTCCGCCCCATTTTTTAAGCTCCTCTGATTTCGATTTCCGCCCCACTTTGCCGTCGCTGTTTCCGCCGTACCTTTGCCGAAGTACTCGCCCGATGTTTCTGAGGCGGAAAATGTTCTGCCCTTTTTTCCGCATCGTTTGGAGCGCACTCCCGACGCGGCTTCACGTCGGAAAATCCGCCAACGCATGGCGGAGACGAGGTCAGGGTCCTCCCAGGTTCTGCCTCACGATGTCCGACACCTCAGTGATCGGCGAGCGCCGGGCCGCCCAACGCATCGCCGCGCTCGCGGCGAAGACCGTGGCGGAGGGCGACGACGTGACCGCTGCGGTCCGGAAGGCCCTCGCGGAGATCGCGGCGTAAAGTGTGAGGCCGCGAGGCGCCGCGCCCCGTCTCGCGCCCCACACAGCGCTCTGCCCAGCTCCCCGCCCCGCGCCTCCCTCCAGTGAGGGGACGGGGGGCGGGGGAGGGGGGAGGGAGGGGGTGGAGGAGGCAGAGAGGGGGAGGCAAGCTAGGAGCGTTCGCGCCATGTCTGCAATCCTACCCCTCACACCCATTCCTTCCCATTGCGCTGTTTGTTTCTCTATCCGCCGACGCGTGCCATGGCAGTCCTGGAACCCCATGTTGTCTTATACGCAATCCGGAACATAGAACTGTGCACATTAGAGGAGGAGATGGCCGATGAGCAGGAGGATGAGCAGGATGACAAGAACGATAATGAGGAAGGAGGATGACGAGGACGAACAGCAGCAGAAGGAGTTCGAGCGGAAGGATCGGGAGGAGCAGGAGGACCAGGGGAAGGCGGATGAGAGGCAATGGGGGGTGGGGCGACGACGATGAAAAAGACATCGGATCCAGAAGAGTGGCCTGCTCTTGGACAAGAGCACCATTCTGAAAGATGGGAGCAAAGTGCCGATCTGAAGATGAGGCCCACGCTGCATAGGAAACACCAATTTGGAATGTCGGAACAATCAGAGTAGAACATGACCCTCCAATTATTTGGAGAGATCCGCGCGGAGAGGGCCGACTACCTTCCAGACAAAGTCAGGGGAGAGAGAAGAGAAGTTCTCATGCTGTGCAAGTGTGGAGGGGGGGAGGAGGGGAGGCAGAGGGGAGAGGGGAGGAGGAATGGGGGAGAAGGGCGATTCCCCATGCTGAATCATCCTCGCTGTCCCGACCGGCCAGACGACGCTCAGCAGTTCTACGGCCCGCGACGAAACGACGAAACTCACTCCGTCGTCAGAACGGCCGTTTCTCACATATCGAGGTTGTCTAGCGCCAACTGCAGCAGGCGCTCCTGGTGTCCGCGCGGGGCCATCCCTGGCTTGATCTCCGCCCCCCAGCTGTTCGGCACAGGCTGAGAATGAGCGCTCCAGATGACCGTCGGACAGGCACATCGTCGTCTTGGCCGTCCCCTCATTGTGGCATTTCGACACTCTGAAGCCGCGCACCAGTACGTATCATGAGCTCGTTGATCGATATATTCTCGAACTTCGCTGCGGCCTCGGCCTACTGCTCCTTGTTGCGAGCTAGCGCACGATCTCCTGCCGCTTGGATGGTCCTGGCAACGACCAGGAACACCTGGACGCAGGCGGGGCCCATGACAAGCTCTGGAGCCTTCTGGGCAGTCGGGCTTTCGAAGTGAAGGTCGCGCAGCTTCCTGCGCCCCGATCGCGTACGCCTTCCCCGCCGTGAAGCCCGCCATCGGCACCCCGTTCCCGTCGTCGAACAGCAGAGTGTGGCAGTTCGTCGCCATCAGCTGGCGGATATTCAAGCTGTTCCCGAGGTTTGGCGTGAGCGAGGACGGGGCCAAGCGCAGCACCATCTGCATGTCCATCGGCGGGCGCCTGTCCAGCGCGTTCGGGGGTAGACCGTGGTTGCGCGTCACCTCCTCGGCTGCCGCTGCCCGCCCTGGCCGTTGCCTCGGCGCCCCGCCGCCGTGGCCAGACGACGCCGCTCCACCTGGGGCGGCTGGCGCCGCGGCAGCTGCGGCCGCTGGAGGCTGCTGCGCGCGCGAGGCGTCGCTGCGGGCGCCTACGCCTGGCAGGCGGCGGCGGGGGGGCCCGCGGCTGGCAGTGGCGGAGCCACTACGGCCGTGTCGACGGCCGGCTCTCTGACTGGTGGACCTGGAGCGGCCCGCCTCTGCCGCTGCCTGCAGGGACTGATCGCTGAGGCGAAAAGACATGACGGTCGGTAAACGGTAGTGCAGGTATCGGGGGGGGGGGTAGTTTAAGAGCGCGCGCAGTCAATAGGTGCTCCTGAACCAGGGCTAGATCATCAAACGGCGCGGCGACATCCAAACAGCTCACTTCCCAGATCGACGAGGCTTTCGTCCCAGGCAAGGAGCAGACGAGGGACGGGGGCTCGACGACAGGGTGGTGGAATGGTGACCGCTGCACATGACATTGCCTAGTGATGAAGGCGGTGGCGGAGTGTTCTTGTGTGATCTTTTGTGTGTGTAGAACTCTTCGACTGTGCGTGCACTGGTTGGTAATGGCGACCGTATGTAGTATGTAGTAGGGAGCGACAGTTGTGACCGCCATTTTTCTGAAACCTCTGATGCGCCAGGAGCGCCAGTCGCGTCGTGAAGGCGCGACCGCAAGCGACGCCGTCAGCTTCGGGAAGGTCGCGCGTCTACTCGGCCGTCGGCGGTGGCGGGGCAGCAGCAGCCTCATGCGGCGCCCAGCCTGGTGGCGGGACGACCGCCGTCCTCGCTTCAGCGCGTCGCACTCCGGGGTCGAGAGCAAGGTGTCGATCACGAAGGTCTTCGTCCGAGAAAAGAGCGACCACGCTCAGCTCGCCGTCGGCAGTGCGGTTGGCGTCGAGTAAATCTTCAACCTCTGTCGCGTTCAGCAGCGCCCCCGCGTCGCCAACGGACCTCAGCGCATAGGGGTTGGCAAGTGCGTCCACCGCGCCAGTAGGCCCGAGCGTCGCGAACTCCTCTAGCCTCAGCTGGCCGAAGACCGCTGCGATCTCCTGCGGGTGCTGGGGAATGCTGATCCAGCGTCGGTGCTGGCGGAGCCGACGCACTCGCAGTTCGATATCCGTGGGCGCCATACCGAGACTCTTCAGCACCGCCAGGTCGGACATTGCCTTGTAGCGTAGCAAGGGCTTGCCATCCGTGGTGTAGGTGGGCTCGCCGTTGTCGCCCAGGATGGGGATCTTCTGGCACGCGTCCTCCGACAGGAGCTTGCGTCAAAGACTTGCCAGCACTTTGTCGATCTGTCCCTCTTGTGAGCAGCTCAGGATGGATATAGTCAGCCCAATTAGCGCTGCCTACTGCACGACCGCGCCGAAAGCGATCCTGAACAGACGCCGCACACGGGTGCGAGACCAGAAGCGGTCCGTGCCATAGAAACCGCGCGTTGCCGCTTGGAGCCGTCGCCGTAGCTCGCCCTGTGCAGTGCCCGTGGTCGACGTCTGCATGCCCAGTGCGACATTGTCGTACTGCACAACGCCAGCGATGGGCACCTTGCCGCAAAACAGCATATGCGCCTGTCTCTGAGAGCCAGCGCCCAGAAAGCATGGAGAAATCGAGCTCTTGTCAGGGTTGCGCGTGTACCCGTGCTGCTGGAGTGCTCGGCGTAGTTCGCGATGGGCGCGCCGTGAGACGAAGCCACCGTCGCGAGCAGACAGAACGATGCTTGTGCGGTTCGTGTCGTCGGCGTAGATCCTCGTGCCCAGGTTCACGGGCTCGTTGGTCCGCGGGGGCCAGGCCGTGCAGAACGCCTCGTTCGGCCAGATGGTAGCGTTGATGTCAGCCCTTGGCGTAGTCAGGTAACGACGGCACGGCTTGCCACTCATCCAGCGTCGTGGGTCGAGCTGGAGGTGCTGTGGCTCACCAGGCCGTGCTCCAGAGCTGATCCAACCAGTTGCCGACCGGTGCGCGGAACGCGCGGGCGAAGAAGAGTGCAGCGGGATTGTCGCCCATGAAGGCTCCGCAGTGATTCTGAAGATCCTGGAAGCCGTCGGAGCAGGCCACTCGAAACGTGCTCCTCTCGTGTCGCTGGTGAAAGTAGCAGGGCTCCTTTGGGCGCATAACCGCCTCCGGCGTCTGCCGCAGTGAGTCGAAGTGTGTCGAGCCGAACGCGTTGCTCATATCTTCCTTGGCCGTCAGCCTGGACATGCCGTGCCGTCGGAGCCGCCAGAGTAGACCCTCCGCGTACAGCAGCGCACCTTATCGATTGGGTCCGCGATGATTGCCGCGTTCACGAGAAGGAGGCACGTCGTGGGGGGTGGCTGCAGCAGCTGAGCCTCGAGCCAAGACGTGTCGATACGGCACAGCCCATGGATGTAGCGCTTGGCCTGGAACTCGCACTTGTCGTTACCTTTGTCGAGGCCCGTCGTCACCGAGCGGTGCCGCGCAACAGGTGCTCGTCGGACACGGCGAATGTGATCCACGATGCGTTGGAGCGCCCTCTCAGCGAGAGGGGCAGCGATGTCTTCACTGGTTTGTCCCAGTCCACGTCGATCTCCACGGGGCCTATGACCAGGCACTGGACCCAGTGCGCGGTGGATCGTCGTCGTCTTCATCGTCATCTCTTCGAGGCTTGCGGGACCGTTTGCCGCTGTACCTCCGCCATGGTTCGAGCACCAGCCTCAGCGCCTCCGTGGGAACGCTGCGCGGCGGCGCCGCTCGGCGAAGCGGAGCTCGCGAGACCACCTCCGCCACCTTCTCGCAGTCGCCCCCCTCTCTAGCTCGAGGTGGTCGCAGGTGAACGTCGGCGCGCGACCGAGCTCCAAGACGCACCGCTGGCGGAAGTCCTCGAAGTCGATGGGGGCCGCGTCGAGCCCGCCATCGTCTCCAGGTTGAGCGAAGTGCTGAACCACTTCGCGACGATGTGGTACGAAGCTGTCGGCCACGCGGCACCTCCTGCGTCTCGGACCTCGCCGCCGCGCCGCCGCGAGAAGGGGCAGCCTCCGCACGTTAGCAAACTGACGATGACGCCAAGACTCTTCCATCTCGTCGGTGAGCATGGTCACCTTGTCATCCTCCTGAGCACGACCATGGGCACGGAGTCGACGAGAGGCACGCGCAAGCGCGAGCGACGTCTCGAGCGGGTCAATCCCGCCCTCGCGGGTTCGGCGACGAGCTGCCATCGGCGAGAGCATCTCCGCGCGCATGCGCACGATGCGGGGCTTCTCGGGCGGAGAGCCTGTGAAGTATCGCTGCGCCGTCTCCGATGCCGTCTCCATCCAGCGCCCCCAGGCCGCATCAGGCGCCGCTTCGGAGTAGAGCAGGTAAAACCAATCGGGGTGCGTGGCGAAGGCCGCCTCCAGGTCCTGAGCGAGCTGCTTGACGCCCTCTCCGGTGCGAAGAGCTTTGCCCAGCCTGTCAAAATCCAAACGTATTCGCGTCGGTA